TTTGCAAATGGGGGGTGGGTGGGCTGCGACCCCCCCCCCCCACCCCAACCCCCCCACTTTTTGTAAAGCTGCGCAAGGCGTGCTTCAAAGCATATGAATCTTGTTGAAGCCGTTGGAAAAGCGTCTCGGCTCTCAGCGTTTCGTATAGCGGGCCCCCACTAGCTGACCGTAGTGCCCCTTCGGTGTTTTCTGTACTCTTCTCACCATTTGAAGCCATTCTGCCTGTTACTCAGATTCGCGTTGTGGCTCTGGAACTGGTTGCAGACTGCCTGCTGAAAAGTCAAGACACTATTGACATTGACAGTGCCTTGGACCTCGCAGGGCAGCTGTGGAATCAGGATACTGCAGACGAACTTGTGCCAGCGATCCTTGAGGTTCTACCGAGAGAACAGGGACTTCAGCTGGTGGCCATCATTTCTGTCAGGTTCCCGTTGTTGTGTGTAGCACTTGAGCAACAACTTGCAAAGACTCTTATCAGCCTGATCTCAGACAAACCATGAATCTCGCTCTGCACTTGATATTCACAGTCATCCTTTGCCGCAGATGCATCCCCGCCTACGCCAGTGCCATGAGGCGCACTGGTCGGCCAGATCCCACTGTGTGCAGTCAACGGCCCCTAGGGGAGCCAGCTCCAAAGCCAGCGCACGAAATAAGAGAGGACCCCAAGCCCCCACCCCCCCCCAAACCAACAGAAGCTTCCATCTTTGCCCCCCTCATTGCAGCTCCCACCACCACCGCTCGCTAGTTCCTCTTCAAATGACAGAATCCATGGAGTGCCGAGGAGCGCGCAAGGGCTCCTGGACTGGAGCGAATCAGAGAGCTCCGCACATGAGACAAACATGCTCCCAGCGGACAGGACCGACAGTCACACAATCGGCCCCAGCCCTGGGGAAGCCGATGGCCCAGGTCAATCCTCCAGCCCTGCACAAGGACCGGGCACCGACGACTCACTCTCGACAGACTCAGAGCCGCCACCACAACCTAAGGGTCGCAAGGTGGGCATATCGAGCAATGCTGTGGCATACGCAATTTCCACAGGTTCATGTGCGGGCCTTATCGCCAGACTCCTCGGAGACATTCGAAGTCTACCTCCTAGGAAGAGGCGAAAGAAGGCTGCTGAACTTCTCGCTAAGTGTGAGACCTTGCAGGCCGAAACTGATGCTTGTTAGAGGCACCTACCGAAGGCCTTCCTTGACTCTTCGAGGGCCTCACCGTAGACACATGTGGAATATGTGCCCTGTCGCAGTTAGCTATGCTCGGCACGGAACGCCAGCCCTGATACCCAATCAAATCCTCAACATGCTCGCATCCCAGGTGCAGTGTACCCGAAGTGGGAAACTCGGTGTAGCAAGATGCATAGCCCTGCACCCGACTGTACTCCCATTGCCTGACACTCGCAGATGTCATACCCGCCCCAAACCCAGACTATATGCCCAGGTCACTCCAAACCGAAGAGCTGCGGGTGCCGTATTCGGCCCTACACAAAGCACCTGTGGGAGGACCTCGGGGTTTCTAAGTGCGAGAATGGAGATCCGTGTTGTAGAGTGGTTGCCGGGCTGCAGGAACATGATGCACGCCACGCCTGATTGCATCAGCATATACATGTGTGGTATCTTTGCCGATAGCATGTCAGATCAAAAGTGGCATCGATATCCCCGAGCTCGGGTCAGGCCCGACGGCACTAGGAGGCGCACCCGCAATGAACTGGCTGCCCGCAGTGCTCGCCGCAATGCCCCTGGCAATCAAAGGGAAAGAGCCGACACTGCGGCCCCCCGTGCTCAGGAGATGAATCAGCAGCCCTGGCGACAAGCGACCGATCGCGAGAGCCGACAGCCACACTGGCAGAATGCGCGGGGAGCCGACGCTCGGCCCCGGGATCAACATCAGGACTGGTACTACGACGAGGAGGACGAAGATGATGAGGACTACCAGTTTGACGCCAGTGACCGGCACGAAGTGCATGCGACGGAGGACGAAGAGGGCTACCTCAAGATCTGGTGGCAGGGAGAATGGTGGTTCCGGCAGAAACCGCCAGACCCACCGGCATCGCCAAAAAAGAGACAGCAGGCTAGCAGCTCGAGCGAGCAAAGGAGGCCTACCATTGAGGGCGCCGTTCCCCCGGCCCCTGCCCAGCATGTCTCCGAGGGCCTCAAGCAGTTCGTCCCCCCTGCCCGAGACAGTGTGCCTCCACAATCCTTGAGAGCCGTGCGTGAGAAGTGGAACCTGCTGGCCATCATCGAAGATGACATCAATGTCCTGCGCAAAAAGAAGGTCGCCCTCATGTTCAAAACTTTCTTCGAAATGGGGCACTTCGTCAAGCATCATGACGACTTCCACCACTCGGAGTCCCTGAAGATCATCCCGGCCGCAGGCAACTGGAACCTTGCGTTTGCCATGTGCCTGATTTCCAGAGACAAGCTCCACTACGCGAACCACTCCACCTTCGGCACAGCTGTGGAATGCTGGTTATGGAGCCTGTCCAAAGATGCGGACTTCGAGCCCATCCTCACCCAGTTCGCCGGCATGCTGCACAGCGTCATCGCACTGTTTGAGGGAGTCCCCATGTCGCTGCATGAACAAATCCATTGGTTCGATAGTCATCAAGACCTGGCAATCAAATTCGACTACTACTTCCCCACCGAGCAGCTGAAGGATGATGAGCAAATTGTCCGTGTGGCAATTCAGGACCAAACCAGCCAGGACAGCAGAGATGATGACATGCCGGACAGGACCTCCAAGCACAGGGGAAACACGGCTCCTGCAACCAGGACTGCCGAGCTGGCTTCGTCTGATGCCTATGTGGAGATGGAGGTTGACTACCCAACGGGGCAAACGCCACCAAATCAATCTGGCAGCATCCCCCACTCCCCGCGCAGGGTCGAGAGATATAACATCTACACGGAGACGACCTACGCCAGCAGTGATGGCACCTCTCTGCCCATGCCAGCACGCGATTCGGCCCCCCTTGGGGAGCCGACGAAGCTCTACTGGAAACTGGATCAGTCTCTCTCCAAAAGACTGTCAGTTGTTCTGAGGCACGACTCTGAAGACTTCGGCTTGACGTTCGACGAGGCAGGGTGGACCAAGGTGTCAGACCTTTTACGTACCTCCATTATGAAGGAGAAGGGGGCAACCCTCAACTACATCCGCTCGGTGGTCTACTGGAACGACAAGCAACGCTTCGCGCTCGAATGGCGAGGTGCCGATCTCTACATCAGGGCGGTTCAAGGTCACTCCAAGAAAGGAATACGTGATGAAGCGGTCATGCGGCCCCTTGGGGATGCCGAGTTGCCGGAGCACGTCCTCCATGCAACCAACTGGGACTTCTACGGCTCGATCTTGGCGAAGGGCATCATCACGGGAGGCCTCTCCCAGTCCCGGACACACATTCATTGCGTGTCAGTAGACAAAAGTGAATATCGGAATTACCCCGCGCATTGTGACATCGCAATCATACTCTCCCCGAAAGAATCGGGGGCCGTCTGGTTCCGTTCAATGAACGGCTACTATTTAACCCGGGGTGCCGATGGCAAGCTGGCCCCGCATTGTATAAAGGCCGTCAGGATCCTGGCATCGGGAGAAGAAGTTTTTGGCTCAGAGGGGCCACCGGCTGCTGACCTCGTCATGCAAGCCATCGTTCGGTCTCACTCTTTCCGGTCCTCCAGGGGAAGCCGACCTTCGGCCCCCAATGACCGTGACCACGACCGCACTGCAGCTCAGAGAGCATACACGGGGGTTGTTTTGCATCATCACATCCGTTGCACCGTCTTCTCTACCCAATGCGTACACAACAACCCCTCGCCTCTGCTGCAGGACTATGATCGACGAGATGTCCCAGGTCCCGAGAGTCAGTACGCTAGGTTAAGATGGGGACACATCCTTCTGCTGGGAGTGTTTTTGGTCGGTGGGAAAGGTTATGCAGGCAGGCCTCTTTCGCTGCAAAGAGATAGACTAACTAAATGGCTCTGCACCAGGAGAATCAGAGGTTGCTACAGAAGGAGACCCTACATCCTCAGCACACATGCCACGTGCACTACTAACCTATCTACAACACAGATGGGTGAGCCCGCCAGACGCACATCACCGAGCCGCGCTGGTCCCAAGTCCAGCGGCTGGGCCCCAAGCTTTCGAAGCCTCTTCTGGATGTGGATCCTTATCCTTTGTGGAAGCTTCGTGACAGCAAATGGGGGTCGAGCAGACGTGAGGGTTACCACGGGTTCCAGTACCGTGGTGGGAGCCACACAACATCGGCCCCAACAGTCCAATAGAATGGGCGAAGACACTGGCCAGGCAATACGTAATCACCACAACAGCATCGGGTGGATCGCCAAGAGATCGCTGCGACGAGCTCGCGCACGAGCCTATGCCACAGGCGGCACTCACTATAAGGGCACATGGTACACTAGGGAAACACTGACAAAAACCACAGGGGGCATACACCAGCTGGGGCCGAATGACCGGCCGGCTAAACCCACAAAGCATCCCAAATCTGACAAAGCATCTCACCTAGATGTCTCACCTGGAACATGAGCGGGGGGTCGCAGGCGGCCTGGCAAGAACTCATGTCATGGTTAAGTGAGAAACCAGATGACTTTGACATTGTGTTCGTGCAGGAAACACACTGGAAACAGGAGGGGTGCCGCACCTTCTCGTCCGGCCCCTGGTTCGTCGTCTCCTCAGGGGCTACAGGCAAAGACAAATGCTCAGGAGTTGCCACTCTTATCCATCAGAATATCTGCAAGCAAGATAATGTTAGCTACAGGGTTATTAGGCAAGGCAGAGTACTCTCGGTTCGACTACATAACCAACAGAACGGCTCCGATCTTCTGAATGTCTACCAGCATGTGTGGAGGACAAACAGTGACAAAGCCGAGAACCTGAAAGCTCGGGCCTCAATCTGGGATGCGATACGGTCTAGCATCATGAAGAGTCCACAAAGGAACGACTTGATTATTGCGGGTGACTTCAACTGCTCCATCAAAACCTCGAGGGGATTGATAGGTAGTGCCGTGGTTGCCAAAGTAGAGGGATCGCCTGACGAAGATGACTTTCTCGGAATACTCCAGGACTTCGGCCTCACTCTCCTCAATACGTGGAACTGCACTCCGGCACATACGTGCGTGCACCAAGGCACCAAAACACAATTGGATTTCGTTGCGTGTAGGGTCCAGCACGCAACTCGCACTGCTAGACACAGCAGACCCATGCATCAAGTCGCCCTCGGAAAATGGAAGGCCAATCACCACATCCCGGTGCAGGCTCACATCCGTAGAGTCGCGCCATGTCGCCTCCCGAACCCAGTCAAACCTTCGATGGCGTCGAGGCAATGCATCCAAGACTCCATTGCACAAGCAGATGACCGGGCTAAGAAGTTAAAGCACCTCATCGATGCGGATATTCAGAAGCTGGACCCTGACTTGCATCTTCACAGCTTCACGCGGCAGGTGGATGAGATCATGAAAGAACACATGCAAACCGTCTACCCTCCAGAACCTGCAGTTGACAACCGCGTTTCGCAAAATCCGCAGTTTAAGCACACCGCGAAAGAGATGTGGGCTAAGTACAGGGAATGGAAATCCACCAAAGCGAACAGCTTAATCGAAACTCTCCGGAAATGGAAAAAGTACACTGAGTTTCGCGTGGCCTCTAAAGCGATGAAACAAACGGCCAAGAAAATTAAACGTGAAAAGCTGCAGGCTGTCGCCGAAGACCTTCAAGCAGCTGCCGCTAAGGGCGATCAAAGGAAAGTGTGGATGAGCGCTAGAAAATTAGCTCCCTGGAAACCCTTCGCGCGCACACACATCCGCAGCGAAAAGGGAGAAATCCTCACTCCCAAAGAACAACTGGCTGAGCTCATTAAGCACAGTAGAAACAAGTTTTGTCAGGGAGATGACTATTTGCCCAATCACCGAGTCACTGAACCCATTCTTGTTCAGGCCAAAGACCTCGTTTGGGCCCTAGGAAAACTACCTTTTCGCAAAGGGGTGCCGAAGTTGTCGGCCCCGGCAGCAGTTTGGAGATTGTGCCGTGACCAGGTAGCCAAAACGCTGGAACCCATCCTGATGCGATCCTGGGGGGAGGAGTCCCTCTGCGTCATCCCACACGTGTGGAAAGACACATACCTCGTATGGTTGCCTAAACCACAGAAAGACCCCAGCCGCCCGTCCGGGCTTCGTCCCATAGGACTCTCCCACCCTCTCTCGAAATCGGTATGTACTCTGCTGAGAGAACACATCCGACCACTTCTTGAGGAAGCGCTGGTCACTCGACCGCAATTTGCCTATACTGCCGGCAGAGGGGTTCTAGACGCCTTACTGAGAGTGCATAACCACCTGAGAGAGGCACGTGCGTATGCGACCCTGAGCAAACAAAGCATATATGACCTTCATGCCGGAGCTACCCAGGTTAAATGCGCAGGAGGCATATGCTTCTCCCTTGACCTTGAGGGGGCATTCGACAATGTACCTCGCACTGCCCTTGCCACTAGCCTGAGACGACTAGGGGTCTCCGAAACGCTAGTGCAACTACTTATGCAGTTCCATTTTGAGGCAAGGTATCACTGCTCAGTTGGCGTTCATGAGGACCACGTCACGACCACACGAGGCATCAAACAAGGCTGTACGGTCGCGCCGTATTTGTTTGTGGCACACACAATTGCTATCATTGACACACTAGCGGAGCGCCTAGGCTGGGACTGGGTAACGCAGCTATTCACTTTTTACGCCGACGACGCCTTAGCCGCATGGACGTTAAAAAGCGCAGAAGACCTTCAGGGTGCCATTTGCGGCATCCAAAAAGTCGTGCAAACCTTTAACGACCACGGTATGACTCTCAGCGCAACCAAATCGGTCGTGCTGTGTCACGCCAAGGGAGCAGATGCCATTAGGATTTTGCAGAAACTTAAAGTCTTCAAGGACAAACTCCCACACCTTGCCTTCATGCAACACGGCGAGCAGATTCTGATCCCTCTCAGGAAAACACATCAGTACCTAGGTACCGTCATTTCCTATAGAGACGCCCAGGAGAAAACTGTTCAACTACGTATGCGTAAGGCGAGGGGTCAATATAGCCAGCTTCGTAAAGCCATCAACTCCAGACGCGTAACGCACAACCGTCCCAGGTACCAAATCTGGAGAGCCGGGGTGTGGAGCTCAGCAGCGCACGGGCTACTGGCGGTGGGCGTTAGACCCACAGGACGTAAGCATCTTCGTGCAATGGCTGCCAGACAGATGCGGGCTATTGCCAAAAAGCCGGCGCATCTTACCCTAGTGACCAATGAACAGATCCAGAAGCATCTCAATGCTGAGGACCCCCTGCAGGCGCTCGCTAACCAAGGCCAGAGAATGCATGACGCACTTGAGACAGTTGCAGCAGAGTGCCCCAGCGACATTAGGGCCCTTCCACAGGTCCGGGCGCAGCTCGCGCTGGCTATCAACTCACTCCATTCGATGAATACAGGTGAGCAGCTTCCTGAAGATAAGGAGTCAGACCCTTATACCTGTCCGCATTGCAGTCAGCAATTTCGCACTATCACTAGCCTCCGACAGCATAAGGCATGGAAGCACCCAGAAGATAAGCCAGAACTGCTCAGTTTTGATCCGGCAAACCACGCACTGAAAGGTCTGCCCCAGTGTGCCTTCTGTAAATTCAAATACGGGGCATGGATTGGGCTTAAAGCACATATTGAAAAAGGATACTGCCCTGTTCTTTATCCGGAATGCAGTACTCAGGGAGCCGCGGTCGGCCCCGAAGCAGATACGAGCACCAATCCAAAAGCTCCAGAGGAGGCCACTGCAAATGAGCCGCCTCCCATAGCCCAAAAGCCGGTTCTTGATGTTGCTCGGCAACAAGGCTGGAAAAGTCTGCTGGATGCCGATGTTGTGTCGTCCCTCAAGCAACATTGCTGTGTTTGCAAGCGATGGATCGCCGATCCCACGGCTCTGAAGCGACACATAGTTAGGGCCCACAAGGACGTGTGGGCAGTCACCGCCAACGGCAAACTTGAGGAGCGATGTGCACAGGTCAAGCCCCGACTCCTCCGAAATGGCACCTGCCCGTGGTGTGACAGGTCCTCCCCCTCCAGACATTACTTCCAATGCAATGTGATCTTCCAATGTGCCCTGATAGGACTACACTGTGAACATGACGACGGAAGTGGTGAGCGTCTTCGGCAACCTACTACCAGGGCTAGCGACGAACATGAGAGAAACCTCGAAGCAGCCGAGAGAAATGGACCGGGAGACCGAGAACGCACCGAACAAGCGACCCAAAGCGGCCCGGCGAGGACAGCGGGGAGGCCGGCGACAAATTGCAGACGAGAACCTGAACTCGGTGGTGACGCTCCTGGCAAATCTATCGCTGCAGCAGGAGGACGCCCTGAACCGTCTACGCCTGGACACATCCTTCACTTTCCACCTCCAGCAACAAGGCCCAGGAACCATATTGCTGCCGCTTTTCAAGGCGGGGCAGGAATGGCAGCAAAAACAGAAGAAAGGAGAGAACGTCCCCCCGATGAGAATCGTTGCGCTGGGCCTCCTGCTGAAAGAGGTCGTGGCAAGAGTACAACTGATGGTGGGAGATCCCACGGCCGTGGAGAATGCGATGAAGCATCAGTGGCTAGACCAGCAGAAGCGCTTCGTGTATCAGGAGTGGAACTCGGCCACCAAAAAGGTGGAGCCGTCGGCGACGGCCAAGAGCCTGAAGGTGGAAGAGGCGACGGAGCTCATCAACCAGGTCGCCGAGCTGTGTCTTCCGGATCTGGTCACCAGGTTCTGCGCCCAAAGGCGTCCCAAGCAAGAGCCCCAGGAAGGCGACAAAGCAGTGTTCCTCATCGAAGTAGCCATGAGAGACCCGAGAGCAGACATCCTGCATCAGAAACTGCGACAGTTGGCCAACTGCGCGGTTTGGAATGTGGTGGGGGCGCAACTGCAGCCGCCAAACCAGCAACGCCACGGACTGGCAATGGCACTGCAAAAGGCCCTGGAAAACATCTGAGCGCTGCAGGAAGCGTACGGCCACCTGCTGGTGTGCCGAGTGTCTCTCGCCTCAAGCTTAAAAATAGTGGCAACACTTGCTACATCAACTCCGTCATAACTGCCACCCTGTGGCAAGCACAGCTCAGGCCGGGGAGCCGCATACCCGATGCTTGGCAGAAGGCACTTGCCAAAACGCACTGGGATGCAGCCATGTTTCTCCGCATGTACATGCTAGGCTGGGCGCAGCCCAACAGACAGCATGATGTGAGTGAATTCATACAGTTCATCATCCCTAAGCTTGCTTGGACTGATAGCCTCGTTCACTGGGAGGCGAGAGTTGCGGTTGAGGAGGGATGCACAACTGAAATCAGGGAGCCCGCTGCACCATTGCTGCTTCTGGCAGCACCTGGAGGTATCCAAGACGGGGAGCTGGACACCCTCATCCTTAGCTGGCACCTGCAGGCCCAACCGCATGCGCTTTGCACAGCTCCGACTCACATTTTCCTTGTTCTACCTAGATATACCACGACCAATGGTGTCACGAGGAAGACCCGTGTGCCTCTCACATTCAACAATCGCTGTGTCCACCTGCCGATCTTCCGAAGTGAAAGCAGCATAGCGTGTGACTGGCTTGCCTATGACCTCATTTCTATCATTGTGCATCTGGGTGAATCAGTTCTCACAGGACACTACAGAACAGTTGGCTTGATACCGGGCAGGACAGAAGCCTGGTACATGGACGACGGTGTCGCATCGGAAAGGCTTGAAACCTTAAGTCCCGAAATCCAGTCCAACTGTTACGTGCTTGGCTGCATCCGCAGGCCCCCTGCTGGGGAAAGCGGATCGGCCTGACGATGAGAGCTTATTTTTCTCACAAAAGTGGGGGTGCACCCCCATCTAGGGTGCTTGGGGGGACAGGCTTGCAACCCTGTCTGAATCTTTGTCTCTGTTCCTATGTACAGGGAAGGCACATGTGAAGCCGACCTTTCGGCCACAGAGCCATGATACCGGCACTTCATGTCCGGGTCGCCCTGATAAGGAGTCTTGAGTGATGAGAAAATGAGATAGCTACACTTTCCCTGAGTGTTTTCGTGCTCTTCCTCTTCAGTGTACCGAGTCCTATTCTCAACCATGTCACCATATGCAGTCATGCGTTGCTCCATCAGCACAGGGGTGCCGCAACTTCATCGGCCCCAGGACATCTGCGGCACAAGTGTGCCCACACTGTTTAGCCCTGTGAGTGAGCGAACTGTGAGACCGGCCGTAGAATAGTATCCCTTGTACATACACTGTCCTTGTGAGTTTACGTGCACGTGTTTCTTTCCTGTTCACGGTAGGTCCAGGTAGGCTCTGTTGCGCTTGAGACCGTTTTGCCTGCAGTCTAGTTGAACTCCGGTTCCTGCGGGACGTCTCTTGCTGTCCATACCCGAAGCTGTTAGCCGCCGCCACAGAGCGGCCGTGACACATGTCATGAACTACAGCTAGCTAGTAGGTCAGACCAGACCGCTGCGGAATCGAGTTCGAGAGAGTGAAGCCGTTGGAAAGCTTCTCGGCTCGGGTCACATGTTTCTTTTGGTAGGGGGTCAACCGGGTTCGAGGCCAAACAGGTTCTCTGTTCAACTGGACCCCCTCCGGACGCTGTAGTACTTGCTTTTGCACATGGTGTCTCAATACTGAGCCTGGGAAGCCGCACTTCGGCACCCATTCACAGATGCAATGACGATGGCGATATGTCTGAGACCCGTGCATTCAGGTTGTCCTCGGTGCACTCACTGGCCTTCATGGATCTGGTATGGTATTTGCATGGCATTCTGCTACTGGATGTTTTTGGAGACGCCTTTGCCACTTGATGAGCTGGTTGCGCAAACGCAGTTAGCCCCACGGTTGGGAGATACACGAGTGACACCTTCAAGCATCCTCACTGCAGGTCCGCTCTTCTTTATTTTACGAGCCGTGCCGGTCCCAAGTCCGGCAACCAGCATTGGATGGGCCACTGAAGACAGGCCAAAAGTATTGCTGGTAGAAGTGAGGGTTGCTGCAGATTCCAGTGCTGCAGCGGAAGCCAATCAGGTTCGTGATCACCTGGGCTTCATGTGTGGGCGAAGATACTGGCCAGGCATTATGTACGCACCAACGCTTCGGGGCGGACTGCAAGGTACAGTGTTTTCACTGCCAGCGAGCTCGCGCCTATGCTCAGTGCTTGGTTTATTTATTTCGTATTTGCTTTCGTTCTTCATGTTGTATGACTATTCATTGCCACTTACGGTTGCCAGGCTTTGCGGCAATCAGGCATTTTGGGATGAATGTATGGCCACTTGCGGTTGTCAGGCTTTACGGCAACCAGGCCTATGGGCAGGGCGCCGTCTTCGGCCCCTACATTGTGCTGCTACAGTTTGTCTCTACGCAGATGAATTCGTTTTTGCTGAGGCGACGTCTGGGACTGCTCTGATGGCCCACCTCATGGTGCTTTCACTTTCGGTTGCAACAGCTGGAAGGATATGTGACGACATTCGTTGTGGACAGTTCGTTCCTGTTTCCCACCTAGCCCTTCTGGGAGTTCGTGGGTCGGCCCATGGCGAGTTTTCGGGCAATGAGGCAACTTGCGCGATGCGACGAGTCACTGTAGTACCAGGCTCTCCATGGAGGTCCTCAATTGTCTGCCCTATGAGTTTGGATCATCGTTGAGCTGACCATATTTGACTTGTTCTTTGCTTGTACAATGCATGTGCTGGAGCAGTACCACACACTCACCCCATACTTGCTTGGTTTTTCTTGGCCACTTGCGATTGCCAGGCTTCACGGCAACCTGGCCTGTGGGCGGGGGCGCCGTGTTATCGGCCCTTCTATTCAATATGCTGCTGCTATTTTATTTTCTTATCTGGTGGGTGCATTGGGCTTCCTCAACGTGATGGTCCCCTACGCTGTGTACCTGCCGCTGAGGTATTCTTGGGATTGCTCTGATGGTTCTCTTTCCTCGTGGGGTGCTTCTGCCAGCTTTCTCTCATGGAGGCTGCCGCTTTGGCAAAGCTTGCCCTTTGGGCAGGACGACAGAACGATGTGCCAATGTGTCTGTCAGCGGTGGCTACGCTGCCCAAAAGCAGTGATTCCAGAATAGTTGGCGGTATGCATGGAGGCTTGTTGTGGACTCCGTTTCGCTTGAAATTGGCCTGTGGAGTGCATTTCGATGCTCTAGTGGACTCTGAGTCCGTCCCTCCATGGAGGTCCTCAACTGACTGCTTTTCATGAGTGAGATCCATCATTGAGCTGACCATTTTGTAGCTCAGTCCTGAAGTTGTACAGTGTACAGGGCTTGCGCAGCACTTGTCTCGGGGTTGCCGTTTCCGGCCCCTTGCCCAAGGCAGAGTGGCGTGATGTGTTTTTCATTTCTTCGTTTTGACAATTCATTCACTGTTCAGCTGAGCTGTCACAGTCTACTCCCTAGTTAGTAAGTGCGAGAACGCTAGGTTGAGCGACTGTGAGCGCTGGAGACCCTGTACTGCACAGTTTGTTGAACTTCGGTTCCTGTGCAGTTGCCTTGCATGTCCATACCCGAAGCTGTTAACCGCCGCCACAGAGCGGCCGCGACAACAAGTCGTGAGCTACAGCTAGCTAGTAGGTCAGACCAGACCGCTGCGGAATCGAGTTCGAGTTCGAGTGAAGCCGTTGGAATACAAAGAAAATGGAAGTTTCTTTTTCTCAAAATATAGAGAAATAGAGGTTTTGCGATGGAAACATAGAGATAATGGAGGATTTCCTATGAAAACGTGAAGAAAACAGAGGTTGTCTTGTGGGAATATGAAGAAATGGAGGTTTTCCTACGAAAAGATCGAGACAATAAAAGGTTTTCTAAACACTACCACCACCACTACGAAGGGTTATTTTTCGATCTTTATTTTTTTTGTTCCGTTCGGCTTATGTTTTTTGATCCTTATCTACTTTTTTGATCCGTCAGCCCTTCGTCACAGACGGGGTTCTATATAGTTATTCTAGTTGCACATACCAGCCTTCCGTGACGTCGACGGTTTAAACCTGCAGTGCAGAGCCTTGTCTGAAGGGAGCAGATGCTAACTGCAGTTTTTGGTGTTTTTACAGTGTTTTGCTGCTTTTCCGGCACCCGCACGAAAAGACAACATATTTTGGAAACCCTCTATATGCTAACTGCAGTTTTTTTTCCTAATTTCGACCCGGAGTTCTCGACCGCATCGATATGCTAACTGCACTCCCAAAGAAACGCTCATGCTATCTGCTGGTCCGGGAGTGTAAAGTCCGCCATTCTTGGAAAATCGATGTCGCCAGTTAGTAAGTATTGGGAGGTTCTAATCCCACCATGTCATGTTAAAATTTAGTCATAAGGAATAAGCCCTGAACCCGAAGCTCTAAGCCCGAAGCCCTCAGCCCTGCCCTGAGCCCTAAGCCCTAAGCCCTAAGCCCGAAGCCCTAAGCCCTAAGCCCTAAGCCCTAAGCCCTAAACCCTAAGCCCTAAATCTTCACCACAAAACTACTGCTTGAGGGCCAAGCCGAGAGCATCCAAACCTGGCCTAGGTTCAGGGTGGCATAAAGGCTGGTGTCGAGTCCAAGACAAGCATGATTTGCGGCTCTCCCCCAAGGAAGCGCACGGGTTCTTCCCTGCCCGTTTGTGTTGGTGATTTGATCGGTTTGGGATTGGTCTCTTGTTGCTTGGGTGTGTCCTACCTTACTACTCTTCCCATTGTTGCTGCTCTTCCTCTTGCTCTGTTACTGACCCTACCACATTTACTACTCTCATTTTCTCGTGTTTCGTGCTGGTCTCACTTCTCGTACAAGTCTGGGCACGCCCACATTCTGTCGGCACGAAGCACGGCAATGCTCTAAAGTTTCGCGTGGTGCCTTGTGCATGACCAAGAGGAGCAACAGAGGTGTGCATGAGACACATGTAGAGAAGTGCACGAATAAATCACAGCGTTTGCCATGGCGACCCCGGCTGAATATGCCGAAGGCATGGAATCAGCTGAGAATCGACATGTTGCTGAGCTCAGGTCTGCTATGGTTCAGGCCCAAAATCATGCAGCCCGCTTTGCAAGAGTGCATTTTCGTTGGACGGTGGCTCTCAAATTCATCGGACCGCTCGCGCTTGCCCTGCTGTTGGCAGTGGAGTGGCTGTCTGAAGTCCGCTCAGAAGCATCGCAGATGGTTACAGACATATCCGCCTTGAGCAAGGACGTCTTGTTGTATGACCTCGTCCTAACGTCCTCGGCCCGCATGCTGGCACTGTCAGGTGACTTGCGGTGGCGGGATGAGTATTTCCTCAACGTCATGCCTCTTGAGGCGGTCTTGCGTGACATCGAGCAGAAAGTGCCGGACATTGCTGCGGAGTTCAACAAGAGGACTGTCATCGCAAACGACAAGCTCCTGGCCCTGGAGGATGAGGCGCTGGCACTGTGCTTTATATGCCGTTCAGTGGGTTGTGTTTATTTTTTTTAAAACAGTTGTTTCCTGTCAGTTATCAGCTACTTGCCATTTTTTTCGTTCTATGTATCCCTGTCTCTTTCAATATGAGGAACTGTGCAACGGACACCCGTTCATACTACACAGGGAAGCTTTAATCAAAAGCCCAAGTATCAATGACAGGTCTGCACTAGCTTCCCTTCGGCCGACCCACTGAGCAGCCGAGGTCCCTAACCAACACGACTTTGGCCACAGCGGTTCTCTTTAGCAGCGAGTATGAGACCAACAAGGCGCTCCTGCTTGAAGGTCTGGCAGTCTTGGAAAGCATGATTGGCGACGTTCGGAGGGAGCACGAGCAAACCCAGACCTGGTGGACCATTCTCAGTCCCTCCTTGGTGTTACTCGCTTTTGTCAGCAAGTGTGTCCTGCTCGTTCCGGTGAAAATGCTCAACAGACGCCTGAAGAGGCTCTCCAGGCAAGCAGACAATGCCCAGTTGATGTACACCTTCGAGGTCCGAAGGTGCATGTTGACCAGAGCTGGCAGTGTAGTGGAGGCCATCGATGGTAGCTCAATGTGGACAAAGGGATTCCAACCAGTGACATCAGACCATGCTCCTCACATGCTGCTGCGTCGGAGGCTTGGTGCCCTCGCGATGTGCGTGGAGTTGGTTGCGCTCGGAGGTTTCGCGATTCCTGCCACTCTGACTTTTGTGGCCCTCTACAAGGCGGAGGCGGCAGTCCCGGTGCAGCAGTTGACAGTGCATTCCAAGGACATCGTGTTCTACGATGTCGCATTGACCTCGAGCGCGAGGCTCTGCGCGCTCTCGCGTGATGCACGCTGGGCCGAGGCATACCACAACTTTACGGCTCCATGGACAGCAGCTTCGGCAAGCTTGGATCACTGGGACAGTGACTTGGCAGCTGAGTTTGCCACAGCGACGTCCGCTGCAACGGCTGCGCTGAGCAGCATGGAGTTGCTGGCGCTGAACGCGTGCGCGTCGGAGTCGTCACGCTCAGCGCGAGAGGGTGACGTCTTGTTCGGTGCAGACTACGAAGGTAACAAGTCGGTGCGACTGGATGGGATCCACAGCCTAAAAACAGCGGTGAGCCAGAGGCAGCAGGTCTTTCAGAGCGACGACCACAGCTTCAACACTGCCAGCCGTGTTCTTGTGATCATCAGCACCTTCCTAATCGTTGTTGCAGACTTTTTTGCCGTGGCCATCGCGATGTGGGTAGAGAGCCTAACTGTTTCCAGGGCTGAGGACAGCCAGGAGCCTCTCGGCAGGCCCTTGAAACATTTTATATCTTCCCTTATTGGGTGTAAGAGGATCATACCCTAAACCCTAAACCCTAAGCCCTAAACCCCAAACCCCAAACCCTAAACCCTAAGCCCTAAGCCCTAAACCCTAAACCCTAAACCCTTTGTCAGAGGGGTTCTACGGGGCCATCCCAGGTCTTCTGAGCAGGACTTCTTGCTGCGAGCCCTGGGCTTGGCGCAGGTGCGGATGGCAGCGAAGGATGCGGGTCGTCAAGCCGAGCACATTTGTACAGAAGAGTTCCTTAATTAGAAGCCCTCAACCCTAAACCCTAAACCCTAAACCCTAAACCCTAAACCCTAAACCCTGAACCCCCCAGCCATTTCAAGAAATTGGAGCCGTATGGAGCTGTGCAGCTGGGCACCAGAAGCCTGCCATCTCCAGTGCAGGCTTTTTTCGGGCAACCCCCAGAAAACACGGCCCACAAGTTTAGGGTTTAGGGTTTAGGGTTTAGGGTTTAGGGTTTAGGTTGTTGGGTCATTTTGAAGTTCCACGCTTGAGAAGGGCTCCTTCCTTTTAAGCGCCACGCCAAGCTCACGGAAAAGTCCCAAGTGGGTGCAGCTTCGTGGTAAGAACGCGTAATAGATGCTTTTTCCAGAAGGTCTCCCAAATCATTCCAGCGATGGGGGCTCCCTTCCGCACCATCCACGCACTGCACCTAAGTCCCACGTAGGATGGACCGCTTGCCACTGTGGGTTGAGGATTCTCTCAGAGATCTCAGTTACTGCAGGTCCAGATCTTTGCCGAGTGTGTGTATCCTGGAAGGGGAGGGGGGGGGGTGGGTGGCGGTGGGGGGGGCGTCGGCGACGAGCGGGAGGGGAAACAAGGGTTTCCTCTTTTGCCGGGTGTCTGGGCTCGAACACAAGACGGCGGCACAGTCCACGGTGTGGCGGAGGCGTCCAGAAAACACGGGTTTATGTTTTTGTTTTTCTCTCTTCCGGCTATGTCTGTAGCAGAAAGAGAGAGCCCGAGTTCCAACACTCTGTGCCGTCTTACAATTTGCATGTGTTGGCTCATGACCCCTTTCATGAACCTTTCAGCCGCTCAAGCTTTGCATCAATCTTCGCATGCGCTGAATTGCTAGCTTGCATAGTCTGACTATGTTTTTTCGAGCCGTTCACTCAAAGGGCCAATGACTATTCTGATAGTCGTGAGGAGTACAAACTTGTGCCCAGTAGTAGCTTCATGGCAACAAGAGTCAAGCAAACCCCACACGACATAGTTTGCGTAGGGACGTCCTCGTTCTTTGGTTCCGCTGCGCGGGCATGTTGTAGAGGCGCGAACTTGACGTAATGTGATCTGTACATTAGACCACAAAGCTGCACCCTAAACCCTAAACCCTAAACCCCAAACCCTAAACCCTAAACCCTAAACCCTAAACCCTAAACCCTAAACCCTAAACGTAAACCTTAAACCCCTAAACCCTGGATTTTCGTGCCGGTGCCAGGGCTTCTCTTGGCGTCTTGTAGCTTCAGCTGGTGGCAAGTGGTACTTGTTACTAGAACCCAGCGCTTCGCGAGCCCAACATCCCTTAGTCTCGTACCTTAAATCTAACTACGACATGCTTAAGAACCCCCCAAAATATATACATTCTAAGCAAATAGTAGTTAAGTCTTAGGGCAGAGGCTCAAGGTCCCAAAGTATGGTGCCTCACCTTCTCTAACGGGTGCCGATGTACGGGTCCTGGGTCGGTTCTATAGGGTACATAAGGGGTATTGCAGGGACCCCATTTCAAGGGCCCACATCAAGAGACCTGTAACTAGCTAAGAATAAAGCCATGTAGGGAGCCATAGTATGATTGACCGTCCATTTCTTCTTCCTGGGCCCTTTGGGTATTGGCGATCTTTAACCGCACCCTGTTTCCTAAACCCTGAACTCATCTAACCCCAAGCCCCAACCCCCAATCCCAAACCCTGAACCCTAAACTACAAACCCTAAACGCTCAACCGTGATGTTCTTTGTTTTGGAGCCCTTGGTCGATGCAGTGGATGCAGGCGATGGCAATGTTTTGTCCGCAAACTGCGCGTGTGGCCAAAGCCTCAGTACAGAAGGCTGTCACCACCGTGTGTTTCATGGTCGTGCGAACACGTTCGATAAGTCTGCCGGTTCTTCCTACATGCCGACAGAGCCCCATACCCCTTAACTTAGGAAGGGGCCATAAACTGAACATGGGTAGCTGTCAAAATTATGATCCCTTTTGGGGTGCCCTAAACGATTAGGTGCCGTAGTATAATAGGGATGCAAAAAAGGGACCATCATTTTGACAACCACCCACATGGCTCCTGAGTATGAGTTATCTTCATAGGGCTCTGGGAGACAAAGATGCGAGCCACAAGAACGGTTGTTCTCTCCCCATACTTCCAAAAGCCTCTTATACTTGATGGCAGCAGGGTTTAGGGCCTAGGGTTAAGGGTGCAGGCAGTGGAGACACTGCAGTTTCTGCATTTTTGTCGCAACCCTCGCCAAGATCTAAGGCTTCTCGTGCTACGAGCAGTTTGCGTTGGCAGCGAATATCGCCAGCACCTGTGTTGAGCTTGCGTTTCAATTCACGTGTCGGATTTGTTCCAGATCTCTTGCGTTTCAAAGGCGATGCCCTCAAGTGGTCTAGCGGAGTCTAGCGCTTTGGCCGAGAATGGTCAGTTTGGACCGGTGGTCGAAGCTGTCGCCCTTCCTTTTCGTCGTGGTCAGCTAAAGTACTCAGGTTTAAGGGCAACGCTCAGAGTATGCAAGGCCTGCCGTTCTGGGCCTGCCATGTGCGACACCTTGTGTAGTTCTGGCCGCGACCTTGGGTAATGCATGCTGTCTGCTGGCACCTGGGATGACCCGAGGAAGCGTGAACTGTTTGCATACATGTAGCATGTAGGTTACAACACGCAAAGCGTCGGAAGGGTGCATTCGGATCTTGATTGCGACGTCAAAACCCTAAACCCCAAACCCCCAACACCCCCCACACAAAACCCCAAACCCTAAGCACCCCAAAAAACCCCTGAAGCTTGGGGAGAAACGCCCAGGCCGCAAGGTTGGAGCAGCGGCGGTGCCTCTCGGAGGGGGAGCCCAGTGGGTTTTGGGTTTCGGGTTTGGAGGTTTTAAGGCTGGTAGGGTTTCAGGGTTGGAGGGTTTAGGGTTTGGAGGGTTTAGGGTTTGGAGTGCTTAGGGTTCAGGGTTTACAGTTTTAGGTTTAGGGGAGTTTGGTTTCGGGTTTCGGGTTTTGGGTTTGGAGGGTTTGGGGTTTCGTGTTCAGGGCACGAGATCAGGGCACCTTAGAGTTGTTCTGAGCAACCGGACAGCCCGGTATTCCTTTAGCTAAGGAGTCCGGTTTAGGGTTTAGGGTTTAGAGATTTTTCGAGTTTGGAGCCCACCCCACCTTAATTCAGGAATGTACCTTGAGGCAGGGGTTTTCATTGTTTCAGTATGTTTCTTTCGTGATTGTATGGTTCCGTATGAATTTGGTGGGTGTATGTGTACGTATACTTATCTATCTATCTATCTATCCATCCATCTATCTATCGACCTATCTATATGCATATATGTATATACATATATGTATCGAATATCCTTTGAAGTGCTGGAAATACAACCCTACTTCGTAGCTGAGGATGATGGGGCGCACTGCGTAAAACTGCAAAGGGAGAGGCCTCGCTGCAGACCTGACCAGCACTCCAAAGACTCGAAGAGTTCCACTTCTGAATAGGGATTCGGGAATCAGGTACTTGATACCACCCCACATAACTCTTTATGGAACTAAACCCTAAACTACCACTGCAAAAGCCAAGGATTCCTCCGAGGGTGTGCGAACCACTGCGCCCGGCACTTGGGAGTTTAGGGTTCAGGGTTTAGGGTTTAGGATTGAGGGGCACCGGGTGAATGTGCTCACTATGGGCCACCTCGCTGCCCAAGACCCAATACCCCTCAATTCAGTTGCAGACCAAGAATTTGCGAACAAAATGATACTGTGGATCTCTGTGTGGTTTAAGGTATAGACTCTTTCAGGGTTTTGGGCTCTCTGAGGTTTTTGTTATTGCGGTAGCTCTCAGCGCCTTTTTGACAGTTGATGGCAGCTTGCTGAGCAAAAACGGCGGCGATTTGTGTTTACAAAGTGCAGTTACAATTGGGGCAATAGGTACCATGAATCTGCAAGAACCCCCAAAACCCTAAACCCTAAACCCCAAATCCGAAACCCCAAACCCTAAACCCCTAAACCCTAAACATTAAACCCTCTACCGCAACAGGGGTCACGTGGTTTGCCTTTGGGCAGGTGGCGGCGGAGAGCCGGGCAGCTGCAGAGGCCTCCTTTGAGGGTCCATTTATTGCAGGAGGGTGGCTTGTGGCCGAGCCCTAAACCCTAAACCCTAAACCCCTAAACCCCTAAACCCCTAAACCCCTAAACCCCTAAACCCCTAAACCCCTAAACCCCTAAACCCCTAAACCCCTAAACCCCTAAACCCTAAAGCCTAAACCCTACACCCTAACCCCTAAACCCTAAACCCTGAACCCTAGACCCTAAACCCTGAACCCTAAACACCTTGGCTCGAAAGCGCATGAAACCATCTTCGGTGCTGGATTTGACGGAGGCCGAAGGCAAAGTTGAGGCTGCAGATTAGATTGTTACCTGGAGAGCCCAATTCCCCCTAATATACAGGGTTTAGGGTTTAGGATTCAAGATTAGCATCCCCCTTATTCGGGAATATACCTTAAACCATATACAGGGGGCCTTAGATGATGTGCGGGCTCTTTGGGTGAATCAGATGTGGCTGAACCCCCCCTCAGTTGGGGTGTAGACTGGGGGCTTCAATATTGAGTGTTTAAAGTTAGGGACGCCGTAAACCCTAAACCCGAAGCCCAACACCCAAAACCCTTTGAAGCGTAGATTCTGGGTTGAAAAGCTGCTTTGACAAGTACGAACTGACCATCGCACGCCGCAGGTCCTTGGATTCGGATCCTGAGAACCCTCGTCGTGGCTCGGCATGGCTTTTGTTCACCGCGTGTGAAAGTTGTTGTGGGCGCGTTTGGGGTCTCTAGCAAAGAGTATGCTCCTTGCAGTACACAGTGCCCGAAAGGGCCAAGCACTTTCGATCAGTCCCCACGTCATACCCTGATCTTCTGGCGAATCTCTGAGGTCTAGCAGAGCTCTTGCGGGCCGTCAACCATTTCGATCCACAGCAGGCCACATTATTGAGAGAGTTGAGATCGCTGTGCTCCATGCGTGACCTGCAACCGAAGGAACCTTCTTGGTGGGTGTTGGGGTGTTGGGC